GATTTCAGTGAGTAGAACAAAATATCTCAAAACTTGTTTCTGTTAAGGTTATAGAGCTTAAAATTCTTAAACTTTTGGCAAAAAAATTATACTTGTGCGTTGTGGTTTTAATGAGAAATTTTCCTAGAAATTCAACAAGAGGCTCCTTATCAAAATAAGTGATTTTTAAATTTTTTTTTTAATCTGTCTTCAAGAATATCTTAAAATTGTATAAATAAAGAGTGTAGAACTTAGATTTCAGTGAGTAGAACAAAATATCTCAAAACTTGTTTCTGTTAAGGTTATAGAGCTTAAAATTCTTAAACTTTTGGCATACAAATTATACTTGTGCGATGAAGCATTAATGAAAATAGATAATAAAAAAACAATAAAAATGAGACAAAACCAGCATAATGGATGATATATCATTATGCATATATTAACAATAATTCAGGGAACCTTTATACAGTTCGATATCCTGTTTCTTGTAATATCATCAAAATTATAATTTTGAGACAAGCCGTTAATGGGAAATTTGCATTCAAGTGCATGATCTGTATTTGTCACTGTAAATTTTTGCGTTTATTATTTAAAAAAAACTTAAATCTTCTTTCAATAAAGCTTCTAGATCTTAAAGTTTTGCTTATTTTGATCCATAATTAAAACTTTACGATGTCTTTATTGAAAAATTGGCCTGAGAAAAAAAGGAAAAGTTCCTCATCAAAATATGTGACAAAACACCAGTTTTTTAAGTCTGCCATTAAGAATATCTTAAAACTCGTTTAAATAAAGTTCGTCGAGGTTGAGATGCTGGCTGTAATTATATAAAAATCATAATTGCTCTTATCAGGAGCCCAAGTCTGAAAATGACGCAGTAGCCATCTGTCAAAAAGAGCAGATTTTTGGTTGCTTTTTTTCAAATATTGTCAAAATTGTCTAATAAATTTGTAAGGTTTGAAATATTCGTCATTTCAATATAAAAATTATATTTTAGGGACTTGAAAAATTCGATCAAAATATCAGGACATGGGGGTATTTATACAATTTTTAAAATATTCCTAATGAAAAAGGCATAAATTCATACTTGATCACCATGTCCTCACTTTGAAGGCAAATTTCTCAAAAACGGTTCATCGGAAACTTATAATTTTTGTGTGAAAAGAACCAGGATTTCAAGTTCTCCAACCTTTATTTAATCAATTTTTAAGATATTCCTAACATTAAACGAAAAAAATGTTGTTTTTTCTTCATTAATTGCGCCCATGAACGAATTATTACGAAGTACAAAAGCGCAGTTTTAACCTGATCTTTTGTAAATATGTAAGTGTTGTTTATGTGAAGTATGTAGAGCATGAAATTATTTTTGTTTTCATACAAAACTTATAATGTTTGAAAAAGTTTGCTTTCAAAGTCAATAAAAACTTTAGGGGAAAAACCTTGAAACTAAAACCTATATTGGTTGAAATTCCTTTTCTACAAATGCGAAAAATTCCAGTCTGATAAGCCGCCACTGAGAAATTTTGTAAACAAACAACCATCACACAGATCCCACTTGGAAGTAAATAAATGATAAAAACACTCCAATCTGAACAACGATATTCATTAGAATTGTATCCTCTAAAACGTACACAAACTATTTTAACATTTATTACGCCGATAAGGAATTTGTGTATCAAAGCACGATTTCCTGCTCTTCAAAGTTTATTTTAATCAAATTTATTATTTTATTTTTTAAATAGAGGATGAATAGGCTCTTTTGATACATTTTGGGTACGTCATGCAGCATAATTTAAAAACAAATTTCTCAACAACGGCTTGTCTCACAATTATACGTTTTATGTCAAAACAATCAAAATTTTATACTCTACATACTCGATTTAAACAATTTTTCAGATCTATTCACAAACTGGGTAAAAATTGGCGGTTTTGTCATCCGTTTAATGGCGCCACGCTCTAACTTGAGAGGCAAATTTATCAAGAAAAGCATTTCGCATCTTTATAATTTTCTATCAATAGAACCAGAATTTCAAGGTCTATAAACTTTACTTAAACGATTTTTCAGACATGTGCAACAAATCGGTTATAAATGGGCTATTTTGAACACATTTGTCCGTGGGCCACGTGCACTGACTGAAGAGGAAAATCTCTCAAGAATGGCTTATCTCATAATCATAATTTTCTTAATAATAAACATAAAAATGGGCCGTTTTGTAACTTCTTTTGACAAGAAGCTGTTTTTTTTCCTGACTTCTTGGCAAAGTGCTGAATAAAGTTTTATCGCGCAATCATGATTTTTATAACAAAGGATTCAGGGTTTCACTCCCTTTAATCATTATTGTAAAGAAAAATTGGAATTGGAGGAAAAATTGGCTGTTTTGTCAAATATATGACTATCATGTAGAAATTTAAAAAAAAGTAAAAATATTTAGAAAAAAAACCAGATAAAAGTGAGATTTATCACTTAATATTTTATGGGGGGTAATTGTTACATCAAAAGAACGGTAGAATTAGTATGTACGATATTTACATATAATCAGTGAAAAAAAAAAAAAAAAAAGGCTCTTTGGTCTCATATTCATACTTGCTTGCCAGGTCCTGAATTTAGTGGCGAAATTCTCAATAACGTTGCATGGCGCAATTATAATTTTGGCATCAAAAGAAATAAGATTTCAAGCTAAACAAATTTCATTTAATCAATTTTTAAGATATTCTTAATGAAAAACGCAGAAAAATGCTGGTTTGTCCTATAATCGTACTTGAACTGACATCAACTTTGATGGCAAAGTTCTCAAAAACGGTTTATCACACAATTATAATTTTTCTACCAAAAGAACAAGGATTTTAAGGTCTGTAAACTTTATTTATACAGGTTTTTAAAAAATAAGATATTCATAATGAAATACCCATAAATATGCTGGTTTGTCTCATATTCGCTATGTTCTCCATTTGTAAGATAATTTCTAAATAAAAACTAATCGGAAAGTTATAATTTTTCTGTGAAAAAAAAACAGGATTTCAAGCTCTACGAACTTCATTTAATCAATTATTAAGATATTCTTAATGAAAAACGAAGAAAAATGCTAGTTTGTCCTATAATCGTACTTGATCGCCATGTTCTCCATTTGTAAGATAATTTCTCAATAAACACTTATCGGAAATTTATAATTTTTCTATGAAAAAAACCAGGATTTCAAGCTCTACAAACTTCATTTAATCAATTTTTAAGATATTCTTAATATCAAATGCAAAAAATGGCGTTTTCTCACTTATGTTGGTAAGGGGCCTTTTATTAATTTTGAAGGTAAATTTCTTAAGAACGTTTCCTGCACAATTATAATTTTTGTATCAAAAGAAACAGGATTTCAAGTTCTATAAACTTTATTTATTTATAAATCGTGAGATGCGGTCTGGTGTGATGTAGGTTTCAGAAAAACATTTTCTTTATCGTGCCAACGTTTCGATCTTTATTGAGATCATCTTCAGGGCTCAAAGTGTTTGTCTTCTGTGTAATTGTGCCATTCTTGTAACTGGGCACTCTCGACACGACACGCAAGAATGACAATTGCACAGAAGACAAACACTTTGAGCCCTGAAGATGATCTCAATAAAGATCGAAACGTGGCACGATAAAGAAAATGTTTTTCTGAAACCTACATCACACCAGAGCGGATTTCACGATTTCTAAATAAATATCGATTAACGGTCACTAATCACCACTCATAAACTTTATTTATACAATTTTTAAAATATTCTTAATGAAAAATGCATAAATATGCTAGGTTTTGTCTCATATTCATACTCGATCGCCATATCCTCACTTTGTAAGATAATTTCTCAATAAAGACCTATCGGAAAATTGTAATTTTTCTATGGAAAAAACCAGGATTTCAAGCTCTACAAACTTCATTTAATCAATTTTTAAGATATTCTTAACATTAAATGCAAAAAATGGCGTTTTCTCGCTTATCTTGGTAAGGGGCATTTTTTTAACTTTAAACGCAAATTTCTCAAGAACGGTTTCTTGCACAATTATAATTTTTATATCAAAATACACAGGATTTCAAGCTCTACAAACTCCATTAATCAATTTTTAAGATATTCTAATATTTAACGCAAAAAATGTTGTTTTCTCGCTTATTTTGATAAGAGGCTTTTTATTAACTTTGATGGCAAAGTTTTCAAAAACGGTTTATCGCCCAATTGTAATTTTTCTATCATAAGAACCAGGATTTTAAGTTCGACAGACTTTATTCGTACAATTTTAAGATGTTCTTAATATTAAAAGCAAAAAAGGTGTTTTCTTGCTTATTTTCGTAAGGGACATTTTATTAACTTTAAAGGCAAATTTCTCAAGAACGGTTTATCGCACAATTATAACTTTTATATCAAAAGAAACAGGATTTCAAGCTCTGCAAACTTTATTTATACAATTTTTAAGATAATTATATATTAAATGCAAAAAATGGTGTTTTCTCACTTATTTTGATAAGGTGTATTTTATCAACTTTGAAGGTCAAGTTCTCAAAAACGGTTTATCGCGCAATCATAATTTTTGTATTCAAAAACCCAGGATTTTGAGTCGTACAAATTTTATTTGCACCATTTTTAAGATATTCTTAATGAAAAACGCAGAAAAATGATGGTTTGTTCTATAATCGTACTTTATCGCCATTTTCTCACTTTATAAGCGAATTTCTCAATAAAGATAACAGAAATTTATAATTTTTTGCATGAAAAACCATGATTTCAAGTTCCACAAACTATTAAAACAGATTTCTACTGTTTTTGGAATAATTTTTGCAAAAGGGGCTTTTCTTTCGTCTTTCTTTCTGCAAATTTTCAACGGTTGGATGGGACAAGAGTCGTGATTTTTCCCGTCTTTTTTTTTAATAAAACAGGAAAAACTAAAAAAACCCGAAGAGTTTTTTTTGCGGAAAATGTTAACACTTTCTTACCGGCTTGGGTGAAAAATTATTTTCTGAATGGGATAGGAGAAAAAAAACGTTAAAAAAAGAACTCACCTGAATTTCCTTGATGAGTTCTTCCGTCGAGAGTTTGTACTTGCATGTCACGTAGAAACCGTACTTCTGGAGGAGATGGACGCAGGTCTCGTCGACGGCGTCGCTCACAAGAACTTTGTGGAGTGGTAGAGCCATTCTAATTGTTTAAACAGTTTCCCTTTAGAAGAATAATAATTAACAACTAAAAAGAATTTTTTTTTTTGGGGCGGAGGATACAACTTTGCCTAGACTCCTTGGCCGAGGAGAGTCCACTGTTCAATGAGCCGGCGGGGGCACGGCCAGGATTTTGTACACCATCCCCACCCCAGGCCTTTCTTTTCGCGTTTAATTCGAAAATTGCTCGAGGATGAAGTCAATTTAAAATTTTTTGGCAAAAAAATTCACTCAACCGATCACTTATTAATTTAACTCATTCTCATCCGAACTCATCACACTCTCCTTCTTTCTCTTTGACTCATCACTCGCACTTAAATTTGCGAGAATTTTTTAAAATAATATTAAGAAAATGACCTGATATTTAAACTAAAACTATAAACACCACGATAAGGTAGGGGGATCGGTGGCCTCAACGGTTTAGGCGCTCATCGCTGCAAGGTAAAGGTCCAGGGTTCGAATCCAGCGGCGCTGCATTCGAACCCGATGTACATACCATCCCTTGCTTTTCTCTCATATTTATACTTAATCGCCATGTCCTCACTTTGTAGAATTTCTCAATAAAGATTTTTCGGAAAATTATCATTTTTGTATGAAAAGAACCAGGATTTCAATCTCTACAAACTTTATTTAATCATTTTTAAGTTATTCATTATATTAAACGCAAAAAAATGTTGTTTTCTCGCTTATTTTGATAAGAAGAAGGAAAATCCTCAAGAACGGTTTATTGGTCGATTATAATTTTTGTATGAAAAGAACCAGGATGTCAAGCTCTACAAACTTCATTTATTCAATTTTTAAGATCTTCTAAATATTAAACGCAAAAAAATGGTGTTTTCTCGCTTATTTTGATAAGAGGCCTTTTATTAACTTTGTAGGCAAATTTCTTTAGAATGGTTTATTGCACAATTACAATTTTTCTATCAAAAGAAACACGATTTCAAGCTAAACAAACTTCACTTAATGAATTTTTAATATATTCTTAATGAAAAACGCGTAAATATACTGGTTTGTCCTATAATCGTACTTGATCGCCAGGTTCTCACTTTGTCAGCGAATTTTTCAATAAAGACTTATCGCACAATTATTATTTTTATAGGAAAAGAACCAGGATTTCAAGCTAAACAAACTTCATTTAATAGATTTTTAACATATTCTTAATGAAAAACGCGTAAATATGCTGGTTTCTCATATTCATACGCGAATTGACATGTTCCCACTTGTAAGTGATTAAAACAAAAAAGACTTATCGCACAATTATAATTTTTGTATGCAAAGAACCAGAATTTGAAGGTCTACAAACTACATTCATTCAATTTCTAAGATATTGTAATTATTAAACCCCCAAAAAATGGTGTTTTCTCGCTTATTTTGATAAAGGGCTTTTTATCAACTTTGAAGGCAAAGTTCTCAAGATCGGTTTTTCGCACAATTATAATTTTTGCACGAAAAGAACCAGGATTTCAAGATCTACAAACTTCACTTAATCAATTTTTAAGATATTCTTAATGAAAAACCCATAAATATGCTAATTGTTTCTCATATTCATACTTGAATTAACATGTTCTCACTTGTAAGTGATTAAAAAAAAAGACTTATCGCACAATTATAATTTTTGAATGAAAAGAACCAGAATTTTAAGATCTACAAACTTCATTTATTCAATTTTTAAGATTATCTAAATATTAAACGCAAAAAAATGGCGTTTTCTCGTTTATTTTGATAAGGGGCTTTTTGTCAACTTATAAGGCAAATTTCTCAATATCAGTTTTTCGTAAAATTATAACTTTTGCGTGAAAAGAACCAGGATTTCTAGATCTACAAACGTCACTTAATCAATTTTTCAGATATTCTACATGAAAAACGCAGAAATATGCTAGTTTGTCCTATAATCGTACTTCATCGCCATGTTCTCACTTTGTCAGTGAATTTTTCAAAAATGACATCGCGCAATTATAATTTTTGAATGAAAAGAACCAGAATTTCAAGATGTACAAACTTCATTTATTCAATTTTTAAGATAATCTAAGTATTAAACGCAAAAAAATGGCGTTTTCTCGCTTATTCTGATAAGAGGCTTTTTGTCAACTTATAAGGCCATTTTCTCAATATCGGTTTTTCGTAAAATTATAACTTTTGCGTGAAAAGAACCAGGATTTCTAGATCTACAAACGTCACTTAATCAATTTTTCAGATATTCTTAATGAAAAACGCAGAAATATGCTGGTTTTGTCCCATATTCGCTATGTTCTCCATTTGTAAGCGAATTTCTCAATAAAGACAACGGAAAATTATAATTTTTTAAGAAAAAAACAAGGATTTCAAGCTCTACAAACTTCATTTAATTAATTTTGACGATATTCCTAATATTAAAGGTAAAAATGGGTGTTTTTTCGCTTATTTTGATAAGGGGCTTTTTATCAACTTTGAAGGCAAATTTCTCAAGATCGGTTTTTCGCACAATTATAATTTTTGCATGAAAAGAACCAGGATTTTTAATCTACAAACTTCACTTAATCAATTTTTAAGATATTCTTAATGAAAAACCCATAAATATGCTGATTTTTTCTCATATTCATACTTGAACTGACATGTTCTCACTTGTAAGTGATTAAAAAAAAAGACTTATCGCACAATTATAATTTTTGTATGAAAAGAATTAGAATGTCAAGCTCTACAAACTTCATTTAACCAATTTTTAAGATATTTTTAATGAAAAACGCATAAATATACTGTTTTTCCTCATAGTCATCCTTGGGCTGCCATGTTCTTATTTTGTAAGCGAATTTTTCAATAAAGACTTATCGCACAATTATAATTTTGGTAGGAAAAGAACCAGGAACTCAAACTCTACAAACTTCATTTAATCAATTTTTAAGTTATTCCTAATATTAAACGCAAAAAATGGTGTTTTCTCGCTTATTTTGATAAGGGGCATTTTATAAACTTTGAAGGCAAAGTTCTCAAAAACGGTTTATCGCACAATTATAATTTTTCTACCAAAAGAACCAGGATTTTAAGGTCCACAAACTTTATTTATACAGGTTTTTTTAAATCAGATATTCGTAATGAAAAACCCATAAATATGCTGGTTTGTCTCATATTAATACTTGAAATGTTTCTTGAAAATGTCACAAGTGGAAAAACTGTATTTTCATTTAAAACCTTCACCAACAACAGACATAAAAACTAAAACTTAAAAAGGAATTTTTCCTCTATAAAATAAAAATAAAAAACAGGCTGATTTTTATATGAAATTAATTAAACCACGTAATTTTTTTGTTTAATTGTCATTCCATCAGTAAAGTCCTCATGTAATTTTTTTTTTTTTTTTTTGGTGCAAATAACACATTTGTTATTTCAAAGGTACTCTCTTCTGTGAGCATTGCTGCGATAAATAAGATTAGAGAGTAAAAAAAGATTACAAAAAAGCTCAGAGATAACTGAAACCGTAACAGGGGGGTAAAAGGAAAAAAAAAAGAATAATTACCATCATGATATACGTCAAAGTTTGATTGCATAACGGAACATATGATGTACGCGAGATATCAGTCTCACTCTTTATCGCTTCTTGTATTGACTGAAAAATTGTTGTTTTTGTCCTCTTGTCACAAAGAGAGAGAAAAAAAAATTGACATACCTGTAAACAAAAAAACAAAACAAAAAACCATCAGCACTCAGGGGTGTGAAGTAGAAAGATAAATGTTTTAATCAACCCCCTCTCAAAACATTTATCTTTGTAAATTTTTTTTTAAACCATCACTTCATATATTTAAAATCGACACTCCCAGATTGACCGATTGACGAGAACAATGACCAGATTGTGTAACGCCTGACCGTATGCGCTTCGCTGAACTTGCAGGCGTGGTTTAATTAATACAGCTAATCTCACACACAACGATAAAGAAATCTTCTCATGTTATAAATCGTTTAATTAAACTACATTGCACAAAATATAATAGAACTATGGATAACAGTGAAAAATGACACAAAAGGAGTAGATCCCCCAGTTCTGGCATTTTGATAACTGCAAATTTATATACTTATTCCATTTCCTATTTATTTTTTTTGTTATAAACTGTTTATTTATCCTTTAATTAATAAAAATATTATGGGAAATATCAATAATGAAAAAGAGCAAAAAGGAGCAAATTTTCCAGTTCTGGCTTTTTGAAAATGGCGGAAAATCTTCAGGAATGTTTTATTTTAAAAAAATATATAATTTATATTTATTGTTTCCATATAATCCTAATTTTTGTCTCATTAAAATAACTCTGCTTAACATTGTGTGATTGACAATACGTTAATGTTTCAAACCTCAAAACAAACATTAAACATTTTCAACTTCTACAGTCTACAGTGTTTTTAAAATATATTTGTGTTATAATTATACATATATACAGGGTGACTGGCGATAAGTGTCGAAAATTTCAGAAGAACAAAAAACTTCTTATAAAGCCCTTGAGTTTCGTGTCAGTTCTTTATTGTTAAATTCAATCAGTTTGATTTTTTTTTAATTAGATGACAACACCCTCAGGTTTGTGATTTAAATTATGTCTTTGTTTCCTAATGCACATCTTGCTGATATGCATTTCATTTACAGTTACTGCAACGGTAATGCTGCAAGGAGAGTGTACCATGCTTGTTTTCCACATCGAGACCGCACCTTCCAATGACTTCATCATCGGCTAAGGGAAAATGGTTCTTTCATTCGAAGAACAAGCGAAGACAGTCAGCAAAATCATATTTCCTCATCTCCATTCACTGATGAAACTCCAGAACCAGACGGATTTCCTGAAAAAATCGAGCGTGCCTCACTGCATTGACACCAGTTTTTTCCAACAAAATGCAAAATATTTGGGTCTTCCAGAAGCGCAATCCAAAAAAGTCAGTATGCCGCTGGAAGCTAATTGAATGGAGAACTTTTCAGGGAATTTGCTAAGTTCCAGCAGTTTGTAGTTATTAACAGTTACCAATCCAACATTTTTAAAAAAATTACAAATTTCAACATTTTTGTTTTTTCTGAATTTTTCTTGCAGAATTTTTTCATCAATTCTGCAATATAAATAGGTTTTCTTACAGAAAATTTAACTTTCTTTCAGATGGCA